GAGGAGGCAGGGCCTTTTTCGGGACTGGAGGAAGATTTGTTGGGTGCTGGCCTGGCAGCAACCACTGAGCAACTCGCTACCTCCTAACTTGCCCAACTTTCCCAGGTGCATCTGCTTGCTGCTGTTCAACATCAGTCACCACACAAAAGCTAGTGTGGGGCAGAGGTTAGCGTTCCATAATAGATCTGGAAGACCCAGGATGGACTCCTCACTGCACAATGGAAGCCAGGTGAATTAGGGCCAGTTACGCTTTCTCACAGGGTTGTTGTGAGAATAGAATGGAGGAGAGGAGAATGACGTAAACTGCTTAGAGTACCCATTGGGGAGAAAGGCAGGATATAAAATGAAGTAAATATGAAGTAAAATGAAGCTGAAGATCCGGGTTAGTTTGCGCATGGAAAGGGGAGAAAGAAGAAGGTGAAATATGGGGCATATGGGGGGAAGTGAAATACTGCCTTGCAAGTCCACTGTGCAACTGGGCCTGGAGGCCAGCAATGAGCAACTGGGCTATAATTTTTTCCAGGCAGAGGCTACAAGGGGAAGTGAAGGAGGGAAAGCTGAAAGTGGGGGGGGGGGTGGATAAAGATAGGGTGGAAAGGAGAGTAGGAAGCAAGAAAAGGAGAGGCTATGGGGCTTTCAAGGAAGAAAAAGAGAACATAGTATGGGATGGGGAAATGAGATACCCCCAGTAAATCCCCCCCCACAAACATAAATGCTGACTACTCACCATATTTATAGAGGGCACCTTAAAATACAATAAAATAGTGCTCTTGTTTCAGCCACTTAACATAGTATCTTATTATTGTGATAGTATTATACTATATGATATTTAATCAAATAAATACATTAAAACATGTGTAAAGGGAAAACAAGGAAGAGACATGCAAGATTATACTAGATGAGGCACACCAGCTGTGGATACCTTAAAAGTACATCAGGTACATAAAACAACTGGAGGATTTCTTTAAAGGACCAGAGGCAAAAATAGAAATCAGTCCTTCAAGGAAGCAAGTTCCACACTGTGGGATCTGCCAAGACAAAGTAGCCTGGCAGCCTAAGGTGTGTTGATAAGGGTGGGGCATGTAGATGTTTCAGATATGTTTGGAGGCTACAGCCTTTGGGGGCATCATTTAGGTACTAAAGCCCTGAGATGTTCTAAGGCCCCATTCACACGCGGAAGTAGCTGCAGGAGAGCCACAGGTGGTGGGCGGATTATTCGGGCGTGATCACACCACCACATCTGGCAAGTGGAGCACACCCGCGGCCAACCTGTGGCTTCCCTCTGAAAACCCGGAGTAAAAAACTACCTGCTTTGATGTAGCATCTTCCAGTTAATGCACGGCGCGGGCCCATAAACATCATGGCAGCATAGCTGACACAGGCGTCTGATTGGAGACGTGCTGGTAGCCCATTGCATCCAGCAGCCGTCTGTGTTGGGCGCATGCGCACGAATGCGGTCCTGCTGTGTTTCTGCTGTGTTGCCTCGCTGGTCTGATCGGCTGCTGACAGCCAGAGGATGGAGCCGTGGGGGAACGTGAGATCGCGCTCTTGCGCTTCTTTTTTCTCCGCAGCTAAAAACCTCCGCCCCCTGCGGATTATCCGGCCCATGTGACTGGGGCCTAAGTCAACCTTGCCAGAATGAAGTTTTGAATCAGTGATTTTGTTTTCATTCAGACAGCTTTCAAATGACTTCATTTTTTGTTTTTCATATGTTTATATATGGAAAAATACAGTATTTTAATGGCAGGCTTTTTATTAGAAAATTTTCACCCACTCTGCCCTGGCTTCAGTGCTGTTGGGAAGCAGGCTTTTCTCTGATCTTTCTCAACATTACATTGCTCCAAAGTTTGGGGAAAGTTTGCAGTAAAGACTGGATTTTCCTACCTACATGGTATCCATCTTCACTGACCCTGTCACCGTGGGAGCCATTTCTTCCTCCCCTACCATGGAATTTGGGTTTTTTAAAAAAAATAAAATAACCCAGCACTAGAATATTGCTATATTGCTATACCATTGTAACAATAGGCGTAATTGACTTCCCAGCTTTCTTTCTTTTTTTTTAAAGTAAGTCTCTAGGGCTGATTTCACACTAGAACTGCCTCGATGTTGCGCCGCTGTTTGCCCCGATATTATTGGTCGATTTCACACCCGAAGCTGCAGGGCTGCATTTTGACTTGCAGCTTCGCCAGATTTCTCCCGCAGTTTCGTGATCCTGTTTTTTGAGGATCACGAAACTGCGGAGGAAATCGGGCGAAGCCGTGGGTCAAATGCAGCCCCACGGCTTTGGGTGTGAAATTGAACAATAGTATCGGGGCAAACGGCGGTGCAACATCGAGGCAGCTCTAGTGCGAAATCAGCCTAGGTTCTTCCTTTAGAGAGATACAAGGGGAAAGATATCACTAAAGACTTTTTAAAAATGAAAGCTGGGAATTCATAGAACTGGTTACACCTGTTGTTGTAATGGTATGTTAATATTAAAATATTCTAGTGCTGATTTTTTTAAAAACACTGCAGTAGCCATGGTGGCCCAGGGAAGGAGCTGGCCACTGCTGGGGGACCAGGTAGGGGAAAACTGCCACGTGGAAGGTCCATTGCCACTGCAGTTTGCCTGCAGCCATATCAGCAATGGCTCTCTCTCCACACCAGCCCCTCTCCCTGTGGAAACCACCTGAGTCTGACTAGCTTTTCAAAGAGTCTTTCATTCTGTGTCCTGGGCCCTGTCTCTGAACACAAAATGAATAGGAGGCTGGCCATTAGCTTCTCTAACATACATTTACTGTGGATGAACAGATGATCAGATCTACTCATCAGGATCGGAATGGTCTTTTCTTTTTTGCCATATGTCTGCATGACGTTTGGTGAAGGGTTAGGAGCACGAACTCTACTCTGGGAGAACCAGGTTTGATTCCCCACTCCTCCACATGCTGCTGCTGGTGTGACCTTGGGTCAGTCACAAGTTCTTACAGAGCTGTTCTCTCACAAGCAGTTCTCGAAATAGCTCTCTCAGTCCCACCTACCTCACAGGGTGTCTGTTGTGGGGAGGGGAAGGGAAAGGAGACTGTAAGCCGCTCTGAGACGCCTTCAGGCAGTGAATGGTGGGGTATAAATCCAATTAGTTCATAGGCTCAGAAATGGGCCGTAGAAGTCCATAAAGGCCTTTAGATCCTGGCATGTTCTTGATGCCATTGGAAGCAAGATAGAGCCTAGAGTTCTTGGGGTTTGCTGTGTCCCCCCCGACCCACTGATTCTGCCCCTTGGCTGACTCCATGAGGAGATGTCCTTTTTATGACTCTGGTTGCAAAAACCGTAAGAAGTAATAAATAAATTAAATGGGTCAGTTCCAACTCAGACAGAGAGGTCTGCCCAGCACTGCCAAGAGGCTGAGAAATCCAGGGTATAAAATGACTTTCTGAGGTTGGCGAATTGGAT